GCTCTTGTTTCTTTAAGCTTATGGTGGAAGGTTAATCTTGTTATGCTGATTACCAAATTACTAGATGAGTACTGACGTAATAAGGCAAACTCCGCGCTTCTTGACAGACACACCCAGGATGGCTGTCAATTAGATATGCAAACTGCTAAATTGAGAACCAATGACTTGCTGCTACAGATCTACTAAACTGACCACTTTGATTCTTGCCTGTTTGTCTCAGTCTTGGGGAGTTTTGTACAAGGTGCCCCTTGTTTTCCATCTTCGTGGCCTTTTTTGTTGGGAGACATCTAAAATGTATTAACAGCGCATGCTTTTCCTTTGTAAATGTGGTGCCAAATCCCTGTTCGCCATCGTTTTTACTGTAACCACGTTGTAGTAGTAATCCTTAGTCAGTGTGTTCTTCTTCTAAAACTTGCATTTTGGGACTTTTTTCCACTTTGTCATGTGTACAGATTTTAATCTGTTACAGTTGGCAGCAGTATTAAAATGGTGAGTAAAGAGTCCAGGATTGCTCCTGCTTGTAACTAGTCCTTTCTGGAAATCCTGTCTTCTGTTTCCTTTTCCTGTGCTGAGTATGCTTTGGCTTTTGTCAGAGAGTGGGTTTAATTAAATAGAAAGAGGTCTCTGAAAGTCTAGTTCCTCGATGTAATAGTATTATCAAATCTAGGACTGAGGGCTTTATGTCCAGTCTGTGTACAAGGGATATGAGTCATAATCCAGCTTCCCGATTTACATTGTGCTTGTGTGAGAGCTACAGTCCTCCTGTACAGTCTATAGCAAATGTCATGAAACACTGAGCGGACCACTGAGGGATGGCAAACAGAGAAAATGCGTTTTGAGCATTTCAGATCAGTAGTTTGAGCAGTGCCTTTTGAGGTCCAGTCTTTTTAGGTTGGATCCACTTCATCTTTTGATGTTACCTCCTACTCATTTAAAAGGTTGGTGGTCAGAACTGCTTCAGAAAGCAAGCCACAATGACCAGTGCCCTTGCTGGCAGCTTTAAAAAGTTTTAATTGTCGTGGGAAATCATTATTATGCAGACAGTATAACTATTATCTGACAAGCATTTCTTTAGGGCTAGGAATATATCATCTGTAAGAAAGAAAAGTCTTCTTGATTTCAATCAGCAATTGACTTAATTCCACAGTGTAAGGGGTTCATAAGTCTTACTCTGAATTTGTCTTTTCTTTATTGTATTCTGTAATATAAAAACATCCAGAAATGAGAACTAGTGAAATGATGTTTTCATAACTTTTCTATACTTTGGGTTTAATGAAATGGTGTTGATAATTAAAATAATAGATAATCCAAATTTAATTTTACTGTAGAATGCATTTTGTATTTTCATTTGAATCTGTCTATTTTTTAAACCTTTCTGTTAATTAAAAATAGAAATTCTCTACTTCTTTGCCTCTATATACCACTTTTATTTGCTTTCTGTTTACATGAAATCATTCTTACTATCCAGGTACCTTCCTTTAGAACAGAAGGGAGGCAGTTTGAGTTTTTAGAGATGACCTGGTCAGGGGAGGGAGGGATGCGGAAATCACTTTAAACCCTCTGAAGAGATGGACTTCTTGGCGGTGGGCTGTTAATCTATAAATTCTAAAGTGTTGCTGTTCAGCCGCACTTTCAAATCACTAATTTGTATTTTGAAGAACATTTCTTAGGCAGAGTCAGAATGTAGAAGTTAAATATCCTTTGAGCCTGGAGGAAAAAAGATTGATACTTAAAATGAAAGAAGCCAAAGGTTTCATCTGGAAAATGCTGGAGTTTTGTGATGGATAATGTTCATTTTGAGGTGCCCAGACCTTTGGACTATCTAAGAAGTCATCTAGAAGATTAATGTCTAATTAATAAAAAGCAGTAAGTGAACCTTAGTTGGGAGGATGGCAGCCACAGACTCTGTTGTTGACAGCCATATTTTCCCGAGTGAAATCTTGGGCAGATAGGAGGCATTCCCCTAATGGACTGTCTTTCCTTACCTAATCAATTCTGGCTTTAATACTACACCTTCTGCCGTGAAATTCCCAAAACTACTACAGATGTTTATCAGTGGATCTTGACATAATATTTTCATCTTGGATAGTTTGAATTCTAAATTGTACAGCTCTGACTCAGAGTATCATTTAACTGATGGGTTGTTACTGTTTACATGGTGCTGAAATCATAGAGTAAGTGGACCAATTAAAAAAATTTCTTTTTAAAATTCTCAAATATATTATTATACATACACATAGACTTTTTAGCCAGAAATAACTGCTGGCTTCTTTTTGGTTTTTCAAGATAGGGTTTCTCTTTGTAGCAGTCCTGGCTGTCTGTAGCCCAGGCTGGCCTTGAACTCACAGATCTCCACCAGCCTCTGCCTCCCGAGGGCTGGGATAGAGACATGTGCCCCACCACCTGGCACTGCTGCCTTTTCTCATTCCTTCAGCACGTCCCCTTTCCTGGCTGCTGTTGCTGGCTGTCGTTGTGGCTTTAGACGGTGCTGCTTTGCCCTGACTGGTCCCAGTCATGTCTCTGTCCCTCCGGTTAGCACTGCTGCTGGACTCCTTGGTGGATTGAAGTCACATAGGAAGTAGAGTCAGTCAGTCTCGTTCTGGTTGAAGACCTTCCTTGGACTTTTCCCTCTTCCAGATGTTGAGGATGTTGATCACAGTCCTCTGGTCGAAGCTAAATAGCACTCAGGTTGGTGAATGTTAGTGCTTGGGTATCGTGCGTAAGGAAAATGTTATCTTAGTTTCTTTGCCTCTACTGCCAGGTAATTGTGTTCTTCCTCAGGCTCCATAGTACAAACCAGAGACCTGACCTGGATCAGACATAGTCTCCATGTCACTCTGTGACCACTGTACGTTATTATATTGTTTCTAATAAGCACAAAAGAAAATACAGGACATCTAGAGGCTTGCCATGGAAGCTTGGTTTTGATAAGAATTATTAGAAGCTAGGAAACTGATTTCCAGAATGGTCAAGGTCTCTGTTCCTTCATTGTGTTTTTTAAACACACACACACACACACACACACACACACACACACACACACACACACACGAATGCACGCACACACGCACGCACGGTTACTGTTTTTGACCTACTTCTGTGGAGGACAACATACTTTAGAATGAGTCAGGGGCTGGGTGTGGTGGTGGCACACGCCTTTAATCCAGCACTCAGGAGGCAGAGGCAGGTGGATCTCTGAGTTCGAGTCCATCCTGGTCTACAAAGTGAGTTCCAGGACAGGCTCCAAAGCTACGCAGAGAAACCCTGTCTCAAAAAAAACAAACAAACAAACAATGAGTCAGGGTAGTACAGTTATAGGGTGGTTGTTGTTTTTTTCCCCCACCTAATACCATGCCTGACATAGCTCAGATCTCAGAAATAAGAGGTGACACCTGAGGTCCATGATTAATTTTATGCAGATTCCCTGACTAAATTGAACTAAATTAAAACTCACAAAGACATCCTGGGAAAATGTGGGGGGCTTTTTTTTTTTGTTTTTTGTTTTTGTTTTTAAATACTAAATTCCTTGAGCAACTTGTGCCAAAAGAACAGAACAGACTAATATTAGCAAGAACACGTGTACTCATTACAGAACATGCATAATCTGACAGTGAATCTGACAGTCATCACTAGTGAATGACAGGTTTGTATTTTATCAGTGACTTAGAAATACTTCTGGGTGTTAGGGAGTGGCTCAGTAGTTAAGAGCACTGACCGCTCTTCCAGTTGCCAGCACCCACATGGCAGCTCAGAGCCATCTGTAACTCCAGTTCCTGGGTGTAGATGTAACCAATCGTATTATTAAAATAAGAATCACAGAGCCAAGGTAAAAGAGAAAAGCCGAGAGGTCAGAGCTCAGAGATAAAATCTTACCTCCTCCAGTGCTCCTAGCTTCCCCGAGAGAGAGAGGTACTTCCTGTGTCCCTGTTTAAATAATCTTTCTGTTCTGCCTTCTCATTGGTTGTAAACCCAACCACATGACTGCCTCATCACTGCCTGTAAGTACCGCCCTCCAGGTCTTAAAGGCGTATGTCTCCAATAATGGCTGTATTCCTGAACACACAGAAATCTACCTAGCTCTTCTAACCACCACGCTCTTACTATGGCTCTAATAGCTCTGACCCCAGGGCAACTTTATTTATTAACATAAAATTAAAATAACATTTCAGTACAAATAAAATATCACCACACCTGGGGTTGTAACACCCTCTTTTGTTGGCACCAGGTGCAAGTGGTACACACACACATAATGTAGAAAGGCAAAACACTCATACACAGAAAATAAAAATGTCTTAAAATTTTTTTGTAAACTTATTTTCAAACATGCCTTTAAAGTGCCTTTCATACAGACAGTTGGTGTGAGAAATGTTGGTTCAAAAAACATTCCTACATCTTAGGTGCAGATTATTTAATTTTTATACAAATTTTCAAAATTTTGGGACATCCAAACATTTATTTCTACTTCATTTGTTTATAGTGTTTATGCAGTGAAAGGTTTAAAAATCCCATGACAAGTGACTATATGTAATAACAGATAAATATGCAGCACTTACAGGGATCCTAAGGTGGCAGAAGTAATCAATAATTAGTGACACATTATAACGGTGTATTAACATTGGCTAAATTGATTTTGTGTGATCTGGCCTATCATATCATCTTCTACCTATCTCCAGGCCCACCTCAATATTCGTTGGGCTACTCGGGCATGTTAACTGAAAAGTTTGTTTATCTATGAGATTCCCCAAAGATAGAATACAAGAAATTACTTTTTATCTTTGCTCATGTGGGACAAAAGTCCTGAGAAATCTTAAGAGACTGGGAATAACTTGAGTCCTGGGTTCTGTTCTGAACAGGTCATTTTCAGTCTTACATTCCTCTTGTGTTGTCCAAAGATGGGCTGCACTAAATTACTCTTTCCAGGTGTGATAATCTATCATTTTGACCAGATAGAAATAACATTCGAAGATGTATTGTAATGTGCTTTATGATAATCAGGATTATACTACACTGCAAAAAAAATAATAATAATGTCCTACAACACGTGTTTACAGTAGCTGGTGCACAGCACTGCTTCCATTTTGAGAACCCGAATGCTTGTTGATCCCGAATTTCTGGTTCTTTTGTGAAACAGGGTGAAGGTCTTGGTTTTATATTTCAGCCATCTTTATTTTCTGCTCACACTGGTCTGTTCCCTTCCGCTGCCTCAGTAGGCCTGTCTGACCTGCCAGAAACTTCACGTTGTTAGCGGGCAGCGCCCCCAGAGGCTCTAGCGCTCGCCTTCGGGGGCTGGGCTGGGTGGAGAGGGCCATGGCAAGTAAGCGCTCCTTACCCTTCCCCTTCTCCCAGCATCACCAGCACAGCTGGTAGGGAGCGGGCTGGAAAGGCTGTGGTGGCACCTTGAGGACAGCAGGGACCAGTGAGTCGGACAGTGTGATGCTGTGGTCAGGGTAGGAGCTCTTCAAGGATGTGTGTCTTTCTCTGAATGACTGGCGCTGCCTCTGTGTGCCATTCATTTACCCACAGAAATGTCCTAGCCGTGTCGTAAATGTCCTAGCACATTGCTGATCACTTTTCCATTATTTTTACTGCAGGAAAGAATACATAACAAGAACGCCAAGTTTTATAATTAAGTATATAATTGGATAACACTTATACATCCCCACTCTCGTATACCTGTCACCCTCATCTATCTTCAATTTATTTCTTCTCCTAGTTGGAAGCTCTACATACTAAATAGTAATTCCGTTTCCTCTTCCTTCCAGGCCCTGGTAACCATCATTCTCTTGTTTTTCATGCTTTTAAGTACTGCAGATAAGTGGATGTATACACTATGTGTCTTATGTCATCGTAGTATTAAAAAACCTCAACTCATCAGGTTGATGTGACATTTTAGCAGTCTCTGTCCGGGTTGTCACTTTAATCATGCTGTGGAAGGGAAGTGCCTCACAGTCTGCTATCTAAGGCTGTAAACAGGAACTCAGGCCATCAAGCAAACAAATTGGTTTATTTTTGTGCTGCTAAGTTCAGTTTGGGAACCTGTTTATCTTAGAGAGTTCCTTTTGAATGCAGCATTCTAAGAACTAAGGTCACAGTAGATGCCAATAGGGCTGGGTTAGTGAGAAGACTCTGCTGGCTTACAGGGGATAAGACATCTAACAGTGGTGACTAATGTCAATTTTTAATGAGGCAAAAGAAAAAACAGCAGCCTATATGGTGTAGATTTGGTTTTAGGCTCCTTGTGTGTTTTTACACAAAAGGCTTTCCATGTACATAATCAAAATAGACTAATTAGCCTGGTTGTTCACACCTTTTAATCCCAACAACTGGGAGACAGACGGGTGGGTTTCTGTGAGTTTGAGGCCAGCATGGTCTATACAGCGAGACACCGTTAAAAAAAAAATGTTGAAATTTGGTCTTTCATTAAAGTAGTTTTCACCATAAGAAAAAAAAAAAAAACAAGCAAACAACCAACCAAAACAGGCCACTTACGTAAAAGTAAAAATTGACTTTCTCTGTAGTCTGAAGAGTGGAGTGGAGGGACAGTGTCAGCCTGCCAGGCCACGCTGGGTAAGGGTTGATAGCAACACCAACTGTGTCCCTCCCTCTCCTCGGAGGTGAGTCCTGGCCAAGTTCTGAAAGTCCCTTTGACTTTGTTCTAAGGTACAGATGAGTGGGTGGCCGGGGCCCACGGTGTTAGGCGGTGTATGTGACCACATCCTAACATCAACTGAAAAACACCTGGAATACGGCCCTTTCGGGAGTCACTGTTTCCCCTCCGTCTGCCAAGGAAACAATTTTGTGAGATGTGCATGCAAGGATGTGGGTTTGTGAGCCAGTTAAACATTAAAATATCTGTCAGAAGACAGGAGAGGATTAAAATGCAACTCTGTTTTTGGCTTGAGAATTTTATTGTTCTGCCAGAAGTCCTATCCCACTGGCTCTTACGCTCGAGGGCAAGTTTTGTGTGACTGTTAGTAGCCAGAGATAAAGAGAAGCAAAGAGGCCAGTGCAGTCCGGAGGGGAGGCTCTCCTCTAAGGAGCACGTGGGGTAGTCAAGTTGTTTGGGGCCTGAATAGACGGCCATACTCTGGGTTCTGGTTTTTGAGGCAGGGTCTCATTCTGTATTCCTTTCTGGCCTAGAACTCACAGACCCTCTTGCCTCTGCCTCCTGAGTACATGCTGGACTTAAAGCTGTGTGACTTAAAGCTACTGGCCCTAACTCGGTTTCTTAAGTTGGGGGTTCAAAAGCTCCAGAGTCTACAGATCAAATAGTTTAATTTGCTTGTTTCCTTTGTAAGTCTGAATTTTATCTTATACATTTTAAAGCATTTGAAGGGACAGAGTTATGGCTCAGTGGTTTAAGACACTGGTTGCTCTTCCAGGGACCTGGGTTCTGTTCCCAGTACCCACATGGTAGCTCACAACCATCTGTAACTAGTTCCAGGGGTCTGACACCCTTTTCTGACATCAGTGGAACCCTGGGTTACAAGTTCTTCACAGACATACACGCAGGCAAAACACTCATACACATAAGAATGAATCTTTTTTAAAAGCATTCTGAGATGGGGGTGTTGGTGCATGCCTGTAGTCCCACTCTTCACCAGACGGAAGCAGATGCATCTCTTGAACTCACAAACTCAAGAGTGATTTTGGCAGTACAATGAGACCCCATCTCATAAAAATGGGAAAAGCAAAATATTGCTCTGAAGAGAGATCCACAGCCTTCCTCATCCTGCTGTAGGGATTCATGATCTAAAACACTCTCCAAGTCATTGTACACTGAGTTAGAATGGACAGATTGGTGATGGCTGGGGCGTGACATTCAAAGGAGTCCTTATATTACCTTTTCTGTAAGTGCTTTGCCCAGGTGGGGTTTGTTTTTTATTTATTTTTGTTTTAAGGGTTTTTTGTTGTTGTTGTTGTTGTTGTTGTTGCTAATAGCCATACCTAGAGTAGTTCCTATGGTAATTCTGGCAGATTGGGGTGTGTACGTGTGGTCGTTTGCTCATTCAGACCATTAAGCGAATCCTCATTTCAGTGGTCTCAGATTGGTTCTTTGGTGCACTTCAAGCTCCTGAGGCTGGCTGGCTCTCTAGTATTAATATTGCTGGAAGCAGCTAAGTGTGAATGGGTGTTTCTGGCAAGGAGCAGATTTTCGTTTTAATTGACACTTTCTTTTATATACTAAACCATGGATGCCAAGTGTCTTTCCTCACTAGTAGTTGTAAATGCTAAATCTATACATGGTTTCACCACCTCCTGTCAAGATAAATGCAAGCTTCATTTCCCCTCAGAGGAGTTCAAAGGAATAATTTATCCCTGGTTTGTTTGGGAAGATGTTTGCAGCCAGCCTCACGTGGACCCAGCTGCAAAAATTTCCAGTGCCTAAAGCAAGCTCAGCAATCGCTTTTGTTCTTGTGAAGCATGTAGCAGTTGGCATGAGAATTCAGATTGCTCTCTTGTTCAGATTCTGTGATACAAAAGTGGCGGCGCTGGAGTCCTAAGTGGGAGTATGTGGATGTCCTCAAATTCAGCCAGACACTCCTCTATAGCTAAGCAGTTCTTTATAGAGAGAAAGGAAGCTGTTTGGGAACCAGGGTAGGGGAGAGAGATCATTTGTTTTTTAATAAAGATGATCATTTCTGAATGAGTGCCCTCGAAATGAGCAGGCTCACATCTCCTCTCTAGTGATCCAGGTCCCTGAGCTGAGGCATATTGATCTGCTAATAAAAACCCAGGGCCAGGTTTAATTTTTAATAGTTCATCGCTCATTGTAAGGAAGGTTTGCTCTTACACTTTGAGATAGTTCATTCTAATGAGCAAGTGTGGAAATCCATCAGTTGCAGCCTTTATGGGCTTTCTGTGGCCAACCACAGCAGCTTCCTTCCATGTGTTTTTCCTTCAGTTAGGGTTGTGCTCTTCAGAATAGCCCTGTGAAGTAGGTAAGAAAGCTACCTTCGTTATGCAGATGGGGGAATTTTGCTTCAGAAAATGAAGTGTTTCGGTTGTGCTGAGCAGAACCAGTACTGGAAGCTGGGTCTTAGGATCCTTGCCCATGCATTCTTTAAACCGACTAGCCGCACTAGTTGAAAAGCAAGCATGCCTTCTGTATCTCCAACAGAATGGCCTTAGTTGTCATGTCCCGGTACTTGTTGACTAGTTTTCTGCACGAGGTCTCCGATTCTAAGCCTGCTTGTAGAGTGTATACCTGAGGAACTGACTGAGCATTAAAAGAGCCCGCAGTCCTTGAGGTTTTCTTTGATGATAATGTCTGTGACTGCATCGAACACAAACTTGACATTCTGTGTGTCTGTAGCACAAGTCATGTGACTGTAGATTTCTTTGACATCTTTTCTCATGTTGAGGTCAAGGAACTGGTTCTTGATATAATTCCCAGCGTCCTCATAGGAGTTGTTCCCTGGTTTAAAAAAATTAGTGAGGTGGAATAAATTAGCCTGTAAGTGCTCAATTTTTAGGTGACTGATTTGCTTCTTGGAGTATTGTGTTAGACAAATATGGTCAGCGTCTGTCAGGAGTGAGCGCTCTGTGGTGCATGCAGGTGACTGTGGGGGGTGAGGGCTCTGTGGTGCATGCAGTTGACTGTGGGGGGGATGAGGGCTCTGTGGTGCATGCAGGTGACTGTGGGGGGTGAGGGCTCTGTGGTGCATGCAGGTGACTGTGGGGTGAGGGCTCTGTGGTGCATGCAGGTGACTGTCGGGGGGCGGGGTGAAGGCTCTATGGTGCTTCTTACTTGAGGTAAACAAGGGAATGGAGGAAAAGTCTCGTGTCTCCACTTTTGCTTCTGGGTAGGTATCCTTGGAACAGTCAGTGGCTCTGGTGTATCTGTCTGCTCTATTCCAGACACATCTGAACTTGGACCTTCTGACTGTTACTCCCTTAAGGCAAGATCCTTTCTGTGCTTTGGCCTGTGGAATGAGGTCATCATTCCACACCACTACATCACTCTTGTCTGCACCTACCATCATACTCCGGAAAACAAATACTGAGGTGGACTTTCTTAATTTTCTCCTCAAAGAGGTCCTTCTTGTTGAGGAAGAGAACGATGGAGGTGGCCGCAAAGAACTTGTGGTTACAGATGCTGTTGAACAGATGCAGAGACTCGTGCATGCGATTCTGGGGAGGCAACATTGTGGGAAATAGCAGATCAGCTTGTGGGATAGATGTCTGTTCATTCCTCTTCTAACTGAACAGCCCAGTGTTCCCAATATAAAAGGAAAGCAGGGGAGCAGATCGTCTGTTTTTACTGTGGTGAGGTACAACCAAGCATTCAAATCTCCTTTCTGTCAGTTTAATAGCTCTGATTTGAGAGAGATTATTAGGAGCCCAGAGTCTCTGTTTCCTTATAGAGTTAGGAAAGCTAAAGAGGATGTATCAGGGGTATCCATCATAGCTGGCTATAGGAATACCTATGTGTGGAGATCTTTAGCGGCCAGAGTCTAGGTAACATGCATAGTGCTGCTGTTAGGCTGAAACCAGGCCCAGTTAGCACTTTTTTATTTGCATCTCCAAGATGATTTTGCTAGGTTTCTGTCAGGGGATCCACAGGTAAGGGCTGCAGGATTTCCCAGTGCCATACCACCAGAACCTCTTCTTTCCTCATAGCTACTTTGAGAGAGAAGGAGAGACATGTGTCTGCCGGTGCCCACGTCAGGTGAGTGTTTAGGGAACAAGCCCTTTAGGGACTTGAAGAGTGCCATCAGCTGACTTGAATTCATTCTTGTCATCTAATCAGGGAAAACTGACTTGTAGCCTTTCCTCACTGTTAATGCTCCTGCTGTTGATACTTGAATACCTGGTAAACTCAGGGTAAAATGGAAGCGATCTTGGAACGTGAATAATGCTACAAGACATCTTGGCTAAACGGTACAGTGTCCTACTGTGAACACTACTAAATCTGAAGTGAAGTAGGATAGACCAAAGCTGGAGTGACTTAGGATAGACCAAAGCTGGAGTGACTTAGGATAAAAGCTGTATTTTCTGTTGGGCATCTGGCTAGTGAGGAAATTAGTGTTTTCACATCTTTGACGTCTTTATCTCAGACTCAAGAGAAGGGAACTGGCACATAGATAGACATCTTAAGTCCTTGCACGGCCTGTTTCATCTATCTACTTCCACTTCGCCTCACTTCCTCTTGAACTTCGTGATGGCCATACAATGCTTGCACTCCTAATCTCAGACCAAACTCGTGCTCAGGAAATTGGGAGCTTTGAAGTACTAACTTAGAACCTGCAGCAGAAAGGGGGTTTTGTGGAGTTATTAATCAACAGGAGACAGAGATTGCTCTGCTAGGAGATGTCTGGGCTGCAGGTCTTAGCCGGCTGGGCAGTGGGATGACAAGCTTTAGAGAGGGGGTCACCAAATCCAGTGGCACTGAAACTGGTGTAAATGCCACTCACCACTTCGTCATCTTCCACCAGCACCATGTCATAGGCACTGAGAGCCGCACAGAAGATGATACAGGTGACTCCCTCAAAGCAGTGGATCCACTTCTTTCTCTCTGATCTCTGCCCTCCCACGTCAAACATCCTAAGGGAAGAAACAGCTGTTCTCATGGGTGTGACCAACATGTGACTCACTTGCCTTTGGTATTCATCCTGAGAGGCGGCTGCTTGGGGCCAGTTAGTAGCAAAATCAGAAATAGGAGAGGCAGGAGGAGGAGGAGGAGGACAGTAATCGGATTGGGCTTCAGCAGAGGCCAAGAAACATGCTGTGAGACCTGAGATGCCCCAGGGAACTGAATGCTGACCTGAAATTCAAATCTTTAACCGAAAACTTGGTCTCAATGATGCCTGTGGTTTTGACTCTGGATCGAAGCACGTCTTGCTCATTAGGGAGGTAGTCAGGGTCTGTAATCCGGTCTAGCTGGTTCAGGTAGCTAGTGAAAAGAGTGGCGTTGGTGATGTTACAGTCTTCAAAGTCAAGACTAGAAGAGGCAAAGGGTCTCCCCCTGAGTCACACAGCTAATACAGTGATGGAAGCAGGACTGGAGTCCACGGCACGGAATCCAGGATCGAGCAAATGCTGGAGAAGCAGGAGGGCAGAGGGCCACACCCACGTGAGGCAAGTGTTCTGTCCTCCCAAGCCTTTCAAGACCTTTGAATAAGACTTTAAGCCGGGCGGTGGTGGCACATGTCTTTAATCCCAGCACTTGGGAGGCAGAGGCAGGCGGATCTTTGTGAGTTTGAGGACAGCCTGGTCTACAGAGCAAGATCCAGAAAAGGTGCAAAGCTACACAGAGAAACCATGTCTTGAAAAACCACACATACACAAGAAAAGACTTTAAATATGTGTCCCAAGTTCCATCAAGAGACAGGAGTAGATTGAAAGAGACTTTGAAGACACAAGATAAGGCAATGTGTGGACCTCTCCTCAGTCCAACTGGGGAATATGAACACTGGTATTTGGAGATATTAAGGAGTTATTGAATATTTAGGTATGACGATACGATTTCTTCTTTGCATTTTAAATACATAATGAAATTGTTAGGACGAAGTGATAGCCTCAGGGTACTTTAATCCAGTGAGGGGGGTGTAAAGTAAGCTAAGAGCGGCCATGAATCAACTGTAAACTAGATGGTTCACTGTGTGTTCCACTTTCGTGTGTGTAGAAGTTTTCATAAGAACATGAGGAAGTTCACGAAGGGTAGAGAGAGGGCAGTTGTGAAATACAATGACTTAATATGGAGAAGGAAGGAAAATTGACGTGAATGTCTAATGTACACCATGTATTTTCACATTTAAATTCTCACTAAATCTTAGAAGACTTTGAGAGTCATGCCCCCACTTTACAGATAAAGGAAAACTTCAGAGGGATTACTTGGGAGACTGAGGCAGGAGGACTGAGTTTCAGGCCAGCTTTGTCTACAAAGTGAGACCCTGCCTCCACCCAGAACAAGAAAGCATTGTGGCCTACTATAAAACTCAGCTTTGTCTGTGTGCAGACCTGGACCCAAGCCTCCGCTGTTTATGCATAGCTTTGCCCAGTTCACTAACTTCGCTGGACTGCAGGTTTTCTACTAGCAAATGGGGCTTGTGGACCTTGAAGGCTAGTGCATAAACAAGGGCCATATAGAGTGTGTTGTGCACCTAGCAGGGACAGAACCTTTGTAAGGGGGGATTCCAAAAACTAAAAGATGACATTATTCAAGATGAGGTGACAGAGGGAGTCAACATGGGTCTGTTTGGTCGTACAGCTCATGCCCACTTCTGATACTGTACTGTTGGGGGCTGATAACTGTGTCCCTTATCTTATTGGAGCCAGCGCTGCAAAGTTGATGGGTTTCCTAGTGCCTGTGACCATCTTTCTTTGGTTTGCCTCTTGAGATAGGACCAAGGGCTGCTAAGCAGGGCCTCTGTTTTGAATTTTGTGTCTTCAACTTCATAGGCTTCAGGGAGGCAGTAGAAAGGACTATAAAACAGTGGGAACTGACAGATGTCCCCACAGCCTTAAGTTCAGTTTGTGTGGGTCTGTGGTTCCCACTACCTGGAACTTAAGGCTGGGTGAGGTTTCTCCTGAATGGCACCACCACCACCACCCCCGCGCCCCATCTCCCCAGAGTCTTACTAAGATGCCGAGTCATTGAGCTGAAACTCTGCAGCTCTGTCAAAGCAGGCTTGAACCCCACTGTCCTTCCACAACTTCCTGATGACCTCCACCAGCTCAGGGGGCATGGTCCCCTCCTCAATGGAGTCGGCCAGGTTGTTGAGCTGTCGACCGGCATCCTGTGTGATCCAGAAAGGTGGCTGAGAATGAGCTAGAAGTTAGTGACTTGCCAGGAGGAGATTTCTGGGAATTTACAGAATGGGAAACACTTTGTGTTGCTACCAAAGCCTAAGGCAGGACAGTCTCAGGGAAGGTGCAGTTTAAGGAAACATGCTAATTTTACTGAGCATGCTCTCCAGATGTAGCCAGCTCTGGGATGCCTAGAGGATAGTCCCAGGTGATCCTTCAGGTTTTAGACTTCACATTGGGCTGAAAGTGGACTGCTAGAAGATAGAGGTTCTTTGCTGCAGGGACTGGAAATGTAAAGGCTACACTGGCCCTTGTGTTGAAATACACAACCTAGTGTATTTCAGTGTATAAAAGGCTAGTATATTAGCTTATAAAAGTCCTGTGGCTAGGGCAAGAAGCTCAAAGAGAGAATTTAAATGATAAAATAAGATTAGAAGGCAAAATGATGCTAGGAGTCAATTTTGTTAGCATTTGTTACAAAGGTAGAGGTTGTTGACTCTCCTAGGACTAAGATGATTTAAAGCTTAGCAGATGCGATTTGAGTTACACGGAACTTTTTCTTACCCGACTTTCCTTGTGGTTTGTTGGTTTCTTGTCTATTTCTTCTCCTGCTTCCACCCTGAACCAGATAACATTAATCACGTACCGCACAACTTGGTTCGGCATAGTCAATGCCTAGCGTGGACATGGCTCTGATGATGGCCAGGATGGACTGCAGCACGTTCCCATAGATGACAGATTTGAACTCTAGGCATTCTTCTGGTGAGTATCCATCCTGGTGAATGATCCTTCAAGGAACAGACACTAAACTTTTAGCGGGACCCGAGGAACCAGACCTAAGGGATTGGGATTCTAGGGGACATCCGGGTCACAGGAATCCACCTGTATTTCTACTGCTGTCTCTAAGTGCAGGGTGAGGAGAAGGACATTGAAAATCGGGTGCTTTAGTCCAGGGTGCCTCGGAGCTAAGGACCCTTCTGCACACATCGACCCTGGCTCCTGCTCCCCCACCTCAGTCCTCCCAGGCTGCTTCTGTTGCCACTCACTTCATCTGCTTGACGATAGTGCTCTTTCCTGACTCTCCAGCACCTGCAAGGGAAATGGCCATGCCGTCAGTTTCCACCAGTTTCCCCCAGTGGTCCAGAAGATGGTGTGTAAACAGTGTTTCTGGGAGACTGATTGAGAGACACCCTGAGCTCAGGCCATTCAACCTGGACTTAGAGCAGTTTGTCCCCATTAACACTATTTACATTGAGGGCTGGATTTCCTTTTTTTTTTTTTATGGCTGCCCTATGCACTATAAGCTGTTTAGAACCTTTCCTGGTCTCTACCCACTAGAGGCCACTAGCTTCCCACTCTTAGTTGTGACAACTAAATATCTCCAGACATATCGTGTGCCCCTGGGACTCAAAAGTCTCCCCATTGGGAACCACTGATAGACTCATGGAAATTCCTTTAAAATATTCACAGTCAAGTAGAAAGAACTGGGGCTCTTCATCGAGATACTGTTTTTCCCCTACCATGATGGTGTCTGTTGGAGCTAAAACATTCTAATGTCCTTATTTAGGCTGGCCTCTTGCCTACCACGCACCCACAATCCTTCCAGGCCTCTACTGACCTCATCCCCCAATCTCCTCCCACCTTGCCTGTGCTGTTTCTTCTAAGCTGCTTACCCTGGACCTAGACAATCTGTTTAGGCTTAAAAGATCTGTCCCTACAGCCTCTGCTGTGTGTAACTCCTGAATTCCTCAGAGCCTTGGTCTTTCAGCCTCTGTTCTGCGTCACTCCTGAATTCCTCGGAGCCTGGGCCCAGCTTACAAATAGGCCCCTTTAGTGTGTCTTTGGTCTCTACTGCCCCATTCTCCGGGTTCTTTACAGAAACCTGTCCCAGGCAGCCAGCTTTATGCTCCATAGATCCAACGATCCCACCTCAGTAGTACCATTGGTGTTTTTGTGAGCAGGCCAGGTGTCAGTTTCTTATTTTCTGTTGAAGCCGTGATCGGTTTCCACGACTGACCCACGGAGGTGCTTTTTCATCCCGGCACCAACCAGTGATCTGCTTAGAATGCATCAAGCTGATGAGCCTTCCAGATGCCAGGGGCTTTAGAGCAATTGCTTAATAGAAAGCCAGGAGGGCATTTCTGTTAAAGACTCCATCTTCCCTGTGGGTCTCCCCTCCCTACCAGGTTCTCCAACATTTATTTTGGGAGCAAGGAGAAGGACCCAGTCTACTTAGCAGAAACCTATAGGCTTCTCCTTGAGACTATGTATTGCTACGGTGTGGTGGCGCTTTATGAATCCATTGCTGAGAGAGAGTCCTGTTTACTTATTGTATGCCACAGTTCTCTGACTGGAGATTTGGTGTGTGCCTGCCTGCATGGCCAGGGTTCCGGGTAGCTGTTGAACAACAACAACAACAACAACAACAACAACAACAACAACAAAAGGTGTTGTTGCAGTTGGGTAGCCCAGCTTTGTCCTTGCACTCTTCCTAGTCAAGGAAAAGTAAAACAATTCCAGTGACCCTGACATGCTGGGTCCCCTTGCCTTGACTCTGCAGGCTCCATAGTAACATAGCTCTAAGCTCTGCTTGGTTTCCTAGCTTGAGACTGGACCAGGATGAGAAGAACGTGCCTTGCCTTCCCCTTTCCGTGGGGTTGCCAGACCCCATCAACCCGGCCGGAAAGCAAAGAGAGTGCTAAGCAATCTTCCCCTCCACTAGTCTGCTCATGCCACTCACCAAGCAACAGCAGCTTGACGGTCTTGGCTTCCTTATCCGCATCCTCCTGCAGCTTCCTTTCCAGCTCCTTGGACCTCTTGGCAAGTTCTTTGTCCTCAGCACTGATTCCGCTCCCCATCTCTGCCGTCTCCTCAGAGAAGAACCGCTTTCTCCAGCTCTTAAAAGGTTCCAGTAAGGTTCCTGTCTGTGAGATAGAGAAAAAGAGAAACTAGGCTGGGATAGAGGAGCATTCGCTCGCTCCCATAAGAGTTGGGTGAGTGTGGACTGCTGGTTCTTGCACCCTGCCTACCTGCTGAGACTCCGTACTCCAGCCGGAGAACTGCTTCTTTAAGCTGGGGATGCCCCCTTTATGTCTAGCACTATGACAGGGCAAGCCAATTAAAAGCTTTGCCCGTCAGTCAAAGGGCAGACTCTAACGTTCTTTAGTGAGGGAGATGATCTGGGTTCGGACATAGTAGGGTAGAGTGCAGGTACTGGAGCTCTGGGAGGAAATGGCTACCTCCTCCCTTCTGAAGAGTCATCCCTAAGAGCCTCTGTTTCTGTGGATTCACTTGCATTGGAGAGCTGAAGGTTAAGGGTATTCTCCAAATTGAGTCTTCAGATGACAAGGTCTTGGTTTTAGGGAATCAAGGGGATAGTCCTGGCAAAGACTTGTCTGCTCCAGGGGCTATTATTGTTCCTTTGTGCTGGCACACACACACAGAAAGAGAGAGAGAAAGAGAGAGAGAGAGAGAGAGAGAGAGAGAGAGAGAGAGAGAGAGAGAGAGAGAGAGAGAGAGTTAGTTTCTTTTGTTGGTGGTGGTGGTGTTTTTTTGAGACAGGGTTTCTTTCTGTATCCCTGGCTGTCCTGGAACTCACTAAGTAGACCAGGTTGATCTGGAACTCACAAAGATCCACCTGCCTCTGCCTCCCGAGTGCTGAGATTAAAGGCGTGCACCACCACCGCCTGACTCTTTTTCTTTTTGGGGGACAGGTTCTTACTTTGTATGCCTAGCTTGCTCAGACCAGGCTAACCTCAAACTCAGAGATCCACTGGCCTCTGCCACCTGAGTAAATGCTGATACTAAAGGCGTGCGCCATCACTCAAACACTGACGTTTCATATTGTTCTGTTTTCCTACTTTATTTACCACTGGACATGTCTTCCATTCGCAGACGAAACCTGATGGACCTTAGAATTTGTGGTTCACCAGTAGGTCCTCGTCAACTGTTTGGTAAATGAAGGACATGAAGGGAAAGGAGTATGTGGTAGAGAAATTTCGTTTGCCTCCCCCAGCCCCACACCAGCTTCTCCCGTTGGGTGGACTTTGCTGGTATTCTGGGTGGGTGGTTTGTCACTGTCACCTTGCACAGCACACTTCGTCCTTGGGCGGCTGGACTCTGCCTATGGAGAGGCAGGGCAGCTCTGCCCCCTCGCGCTCCTCTTGTCCGTCTTTCTGTGGGAGTGAGGGTGCAGCCTAGCAGTTACCACACAGCACTGAACACACCTCATGAGCCAGGGTTCTCAGGGCCAGGAGTTTCATGTAAATGAGTTTTCCCAGTGCAACCCCCTCACCTGAAGTTAGAACAGTGGTTCTCAACCTTCCTAATGCTGTGGCCCTCATGTTGTGGTGACCCCCAACCATAAGATTATTTTTGGTGCTACTTCATAACTGTAATTTTGCTACTGTTATGAATCGTGATGTAAGTATCTGATAGGTAGGATATCTGATACTCGACTCCCGTGAAAAGGCCATTCAACCCCTTGGAGGGGTCGAAACCCACTGGTTGCGAACTGCTGCTTTAGACCTTTGCTACCCATATGTAATGCAAGGAGCAGGCACATCAGAAGCCCTGGAAGTTTGTTAGAAAGGCAGTCTCAGACCTCAGCTCAGAAAGTCCAATAAATAATCTGCATTTTAACAATACCTCAAGTGACCCACAGGGCATTAAAGGTTGGGAAGAACTGCCCGAAGGAACTGGTTCTCTCCAGCCTTGTCTACTTATGTTTCCTGAAATATGGTTATAAGGTCACCTGGCTTTTCAAAAACAGTTTAGGATATTTGTAAAGGGTGTGTTTTAGAACCTGTGAATTTCAGTTACTATTATTTTTGGAGCCTGAAATGAAGCTAATATAAGTGATTATTATCATCTGGCAAGTTTGAAAACGCCGCCTTACAAAAGTACAATCTGGGATGTGTACGTTGGCATTGGATGTGCTGGAAATCAAACCCAGGCCTACGTGCACACCAGGAAGGTTCTCTACCAACTGAGCCCCAGCCCCAGCCCCGAGTGTTTTTAAAGATTGAGTAAACTGGTTTGGAGTACAGTCCAGGCATGAGAGTTACATTTTCCCCCAGGTGACTCCCAGGAAGAGACGTGGTGGAAAAGAACCCTTAAGATAAACAGACTGGATCTGCACTTTTAGAGCCAAAATTGTGTGGCAGTGGGGTGAGGATGGAGGGGGAGCTAGGTCCCCACTAACTGGACACTGGGAACCATGGCTTAGCGTCTTCCTTGGCCCTCCCCCCTTTTAGTATTAAAAAGGCCCGACTTTTGAGACCCAGGAGAGAACTAGCTGCAGAGGTGCTGCCTGGCATGGCAACCCTGCTTTCCCAATCAGAAACTGGCAAGTGCCTTAGTGACTTAAGGGCAGACAGGAGTCCCTTAGAAATTGTGGCTGTTTTGGAATCCTGGCTAGGAGGTTCCTGTAATTATGCGACCAGCGCTGCCCTGCCCAGCCCTGCCCACAGTGCTGGTAACTCACACCGAGACCAGCCCTGTGCTGAAGGCCCAACTGTTCAGAAGAAGGGACAGCAGAGGCTTGTGCTGGACCGCTTCTGGGCCTTTGCTGCCGATGGTTCTGCAGCTTTTTTCAGGTCACATAGTTTAGTAAACAGAGGAGTCAATGGTTTTCCTTTCCCTAACCGCCATCCCACTGAGTGAGAGAAAGAGCTGCTGGACACATGGGGAAACCGAGGACAGGGGCCTGTGCTGGAGAGAACCCCCAGCTTGATTCACACATGGGGGACACCTGCACCCTTTCTCGTCCCAGCTGCTGTGGCTGACAGACTCTAGTGTTGCTTCTGCTTGGGCTGTAGACGGAGGAGGAGGAAGCTCCCCATTCTCACGCTTGAGCTGAGAGACTCTCAGCCCTCCTGCCTTCCCTGTGGTTGTCCCACTTGATCATTACATTGAGGGACAATGTCCTGGTGAAGAAGGCAGGGCACAGGAGGGTACAGTGCCTGTCCCAGAGGTGAGTGAAGCATGGAAGAGTAATCCCCCTCTGCATGAGGGTGTGTGGACAGAACCCAGGTGTTTGGGTCACAGCCCCAGATGGCCATCTCATTTTGAGTGAAAGCAACCACTTAAATGATCGCCCGAGAAATTTGGGCATGTTTCCTAAGTGAAGGAGCCCTCAGGATCTGCCTCACGCTTTGTAAGAAGCTGTGCCCCAGATGGAGTGTGGGACACTGACACAGGAAGATTTGCCTTTGGGAACTTGCAGTCTACGTGAGGAGGCTGGAGAAAGCAGAGTAACAATTAAAGGGCTGACGCTAATGTTGGGGGATTCAGGGCTGTTGAAAACCTTGCTTCCACCCCCTGGTAGGAGAGGCAATTATACACACATCTATTGTCATTTTTTTTTTTTTAAAAAGTGTGTGTGTGTGTGTGTGTGTGTGTGTGTGTGTGTGTGTGTGTGCCTAAGCCAGCAGGTCATGCCCTTAACAGAGCATGCAGTAAGTTGAGGTAGAAGAATCCTCAGTTCTCAACTAGCCTGAGCTACAGAAGGGCCACATTTTAAATAACAGTAATATTGAAAGCAAGAGGTGATTGTGAAATGGACAGACTTTCCACGGGGAGCCGGTCAGCAGAAATGGAGGATGTGAGTCTGGGGAGAGGAAAGGATGAAAGAGAAAAGGTATGAGGTAAATATGAGCTTAGACTGGAAAGCTTGATGTGACAGGACATGAAAGGATGGGAGAGCTGGGAGATGAGGACGGGAAAGGGAAAAGGACCAGCTAGTGCAGGGCCTTGAATGTCAGGTGGGGACCTAACCTGTGGACAAGCAGAGAGGCAACTGCATGATGCTGGGTCAAGCTTGATTCTAGAAAGGTCTGGGAATAGGATGGGGCATAGGAAATTGCCCTGGGCAAGTATCCTTGGAAGCTTCAGCTATTTTTCTCCCGAGTCTAGCATCTGCTAGTAGAGGTCTGTTCCTAGCCAGGCTGGCATTACCAGGGAGCTGAAGGTCAGAAAAGCAGGAAAGCTGTTCAGAAAAAACGGGAGTGTGCTGATGTTGGGAGGGGTTCAGGGAGGTCCAGCTGAGAAGCCATGGTGGAAATCGGTTAGGAGGAGGAAGCTGTGTTTGGAGGCAGGGAAGTCCCAGAGACTGAGGCAGCATTAAGACTTCAATACCAGAAAGTCCCGGGCCACAGGGTGATCCACTCCTTCATTCTCCACGCTCTGCTCTGCAGACAAGAAAACCCCACTGAAATTCAGCCTGTGTTGAGTAGGTGGGACACTGATGCTGAGCTGGAAGCAGGGCAGACTCCTTAACAACCACTACAGACCACGTGACCTGGAAGTGAGGGGGGTGGGGAGGGCTGTAGGGGGAAGTCAAGGGTGTGTTGTTGGTAGGACTTCAAGATGAAGGCGCTCATGAACTGGTTTGCCTGGGTTGGGTGGAGAACAGGATTGCCATCTATTGGCTGGGTAGGTAGGTAGGTAGATCTGGATTAGGGGATCCACATAGGCCTGGCCCAGTGTACGGCTGTGACCCTTAAAATTATGCCAAAATCTGCATCATACCAGAATATAAATGAGCATCTATATGGTCTCATGGTACTTGCTTGTTAATCCGGGGGTTTATTTTGTTCATTCTTGGAAGCCAACATTCTCACAACGCTCACAATGTCTAAGGGCCATATTCAGAACAGCCCACTTTCCAAGCCTGGGGGAGACTGACGGATGATTAGTGTTCTGCAGGGTTTTTGTTGGCTTCTGTCCTCTTGATTTCTGTGTGTCATATGTATCACACCATTAGGACCATTCTATTTGTGTAGTTCTTTGCATCCAATCTTTCACCTAACTTTATGTTGTAAGCATTTTCACATGATTAAAAAAATCCTCCAAGACCAGTATTAATGGTTGTATTTCATTGCGTTCATTTAAACATTCCCTTTTAGCCGGGAGGCGATGGGGAGGCAGAGGCAGGCCAATCTCTGAGTTTGAGGCCAGCTTGTACAGAGTTCCAGAACAGCCAGGGCTACCCAGAGAAATCCTGTCTTGAAAAACCGAAAACCAACCAAACAAACAAAAACCATTCCTTTGTTGTTGGGCCTTTATGTTTCCAAACTTTCTGTGGTAAATATTGCAATATTGAACAACTTTGTGGATATTTTTCAGACAACCCTTTATTTTATATTATTATTATTATGTTTGTTTTGGATTTTTGAGACAGGGTTTCTCTGGGTAGTCCTGGCTGTCCTAGAACTCACTCTGTAGACCAGGCTAGCAATCTCCTGATTGCTGGGATTAAAGGCTTGCACTGCCCGGGTTCAGATCATCTTTTTTTGTTTGTTTCTCTGTAGCCTTGCTGTCCTGGAACTCCATCTGTAGACCAGGCTGGCCTCAAACTCACAGAGATCTGCCTGCCTCTGCCTCCAGAGTGCTGGGATTAAAGGCATGCGCCACCTCCCCACCCCCACACCCCTCACCCCTCACCTCCCACTCCCTCCAGATAACCCTTTTTTAAAAGAACAGTTTTGTGATTCCCATCCCTTAAAGAAATCCTGGAAGTTGCCATGAGATTTGCTGGGTCTGCCCATCTTCCTGTGTCCAGAAGAGAAAGGTGCAACTTTTCTTTTTCTTTCTCTTTCTTTTAAACATGTCTTCCTTTCTCCTCTCCTCTTCCAGGCAGCTGCTGAGAGTCACACGTTGCATGGCCTGGGGCTTTTCTTTTAAACACTAATAAAATTATTTTTTGATCTTAAATAAAAAAATAGACTTGTTAGAAATGGATTACTGGGTTAAACAGTGAAACTTGAGACCCTTGATTATATTTTGCTAGCTGATTCTTAGATTATATTAGTGTTTATGGTCATATAATGTGTGTCCTAGTTGAATACATCCTCACCTGTACTGGGAAGCTTTGAGTGGCTCCTGTTTAAATATTTCAACATAACAAATTAAGAACAATGTATCTCTTGTTCTGTTTTAGTCTTTGATTCTCGGTGAGCTGGAGAATCACACACCACAGCTCTCCCAAGTTGATGGAGGCCACCTAGGGGGTTTCTTGTTTGTGTTTTTGTCTTTCTGTAGTGCTGGGCATTGCCTCTCACATATAAGGCAGAGGGATACTGCCACTGAGCCCTCACCCCCAGCCCAGGGCAATAGTTTTTAAAGTTTAAGCAGAGTGGACAGGAGACACCCTGGAGGCTGCCTCAGATGTAGATAGTTAGAGAATGGGGCGCAGGACCCAGAGTTCAGGGTGGAGTCAGGAGTGGTGAGATCTTTAGAACATCTGGGTGTAAGGGCAAAGGACTCCCCCAAGGGTAACGATAGGGAAGGGACCAATTGCTGCTCGTAGGGTAATTGCTTTTAGTGAGGGGACTTTACCGTTTTCCTTTAGGTAGGACTGGCCCTTGGAGATGGGAATGCTGGTTTGAGAGGTGTGTGCAGCCCTATTCAAACAGCCCAATTTCACTTAACCCACAAGGGGAGTCAACGAGTTGGCAATAAGGATCCCAGGCCAAAGCAATGTTACATGAACACTGATTAGGTAGTAACTTACAGGCCAGGCACAGGTCTCAGCACTTATAATTAACTCGTTTATCTTCACCAGCATCCTTGAGGGCAGACACTCATTTTACAGAAATAGCACAGAGAAGTTCAGCGTCAGTCAGGAAGTAGGTGGTGATGCCTGAATTTGAACCTAGACATTCTGGCTAGTCTGACCTCAACATAGAAACTAATGTGGGATGGGGAGCCAGCCTTGAAGGGCACACCCTGCTTACCAATGCCCAATAGAAGGAAACAGATTCAGGTGGGAATGCGGAGAATGCAAGGGCAGGGCTTCTGCAGAAAATGGATTCTGGGACCCTAATAATAGCTACTTGACTTGGTGCCAAGCATTGGGCAAAGGGGCTTTACATTCATTGCTCTGTAACTCCTTTGGGTGAGATGCTGTCATTACCTCACCTCATCTTACTGATGAGGAAGCTGACGCACAGAAATGGCCCAAGACCAAAGGGCCACGGCAGGCCAACCCTGGCCGCGTGGCTGCCCACGTGGCGTTAGGGAAACAGGGAAAATGGTGGGGGCGTGGCCAGGCGATCGGAGGCGTGGCCGAACGGGGCGTGGCCGCAGACTTGGCGGGGCCTGGGGCCGGCGAGGTTGGCGCGCAGCCGGGGAGGTTTAGGCGGGGTCGCACCTGTTGCGGGACTCCCCCCGCAAGCCCGGCCACGAGGTTCGGATCTCTAATCGGTACCCAGAAAGTAGTGAAAGAACCCTAGGCGAATTCCGGGTCCGGTTTTCTGTGGAGCACGTGGCCGGCTTCCTCTTGAGTGCGGGCGGGCCGGGGGGTCGCGGCGCCAGGGTCTCCGGAGGTCAGTCTGGCCGCTGAAGTCGGTGGGAGTCCGCCTGGGGCCAGCTGGCCGTTTTGAAAAACTGCCTTCTTCCCGCTTCTCACAGTGCGGGAGCAGGGGCCAGTGGCGCCACTTCGCCCCGTTGGGGGCCCTCTCCCCCTCCTCGGCCGTGCTTCCCCGCTGTGCAGACTTTCCTAGGCAGCCTCCCTGGTGCCACTTGGGACTCGGGCAGTATGGCCTCAGGTAAGCGTGTGTTGGCTGTAGAGGGATCCCGGGACAGAGGTGCCTTGGTCCGGTGACAAGAGGGTGGGGGCGTCTTGGCACACAGCCTTGCAAGACCTAGGGGATGTGAGCAGATCCTAGAAGGGTCTCGGGAAGCAGACCTTGAGTGTGCAAGCAGATGGACAAGTCAGAGGAGCCCGGGGTCTTTCCCCACAGACCTCAGACAGGACCCTGCCTCCTGCTCTTCCTGTCTTCCTAGGAGGCAGCTTCTGCCGGTCAATGGAATTTTCCCAAGGCAGGCCCCTCCCTCCTGGGCTCGAATTCTCAGTTCAGCCTCCTTCTCCCAGAGCTGGACTGTCCCTAGAGCAGGGGTCAGATGGAGAAGAAAAGAGTGGGCTCTGCCCCAGAGGCGCTGGGTTTTCATGAGTACGCTTGCCCTGTCCCTGGAGGAAATGGGTTTTGAGGTTGGAGAAGCTTAGGCTGTATTCTTGCTTATTATGTTTCTCTCTGGCCGGCTGGACCAGCCTAGCCTGGACTTTGGCTTCTTTGCCTTTGGCTTCTTTGCCTTGGAGCTTTGGCAACGGATGAGGGTTCCCGAGGTGGGGTGAGGGTGCTGCAGAGCTGAGAGCTGGCGGTGCTCCATCTGTTTTCTTTGCACCCCCACCCCCACCCCAGTCCCAGCCACCATCAGTCACGTCACTCTAGG